CGCGTACGACGTACTATCTCGCGTTCTCCCTCTCCTCAGCGTCTCTCCGTCGTACTACGGCCGGCCTCCTAAGGGAAATTTAGTGTTTAACCCTTTCCGGACCGCGCACTTTTGCCGTGGCGGGCGCGCGTGCTACACGGCGAGCATAAATAAATATATTGGACCTGTATTTCCACTGAAATCATTACTTTGTCCCGTTTTGTATTTTTCATGATTAAGAGGACATATATAGTGAATATGACAGAAAACTGTTGCATAATGAAAGTGATAGGGCCATAAAAGGGAGGCAGGAATGAAAATTGTTCAAAATAAGTTGTAATGGGGGAAAAGGGAGCGGGAAGTGTCCGAAACGTTTGGATTTAATAGCATCAGATACGACATGCACGTAGTGTCATAAATTCTGTTGTATGAAGTGTTTTCAAATGATTTATAACTGTTTTCCTGAGCTCAAAGTGGAACATCCATTTAGTTTTAGTTATTTTAGGACTAGTTTGAGATTGAAGTCTAGGTTTTTTCATACGTACGACATGAGTATCTTACATAGATATGTAACAACATAAAAGTTTTTGTCGAAAAACCTTATCCTCGGGAAAATGGTCCCTGACACACCATGGGTGTCAGGCGGTCCGGAAAGGGTTAATATGGTGCTTTTTGCTTTTTCTCCTCACTAATGTTCCTCATTGTACCCCTTGCCTAATTGTGAACAAAATAAAGCGTCAATTCAATCCCGACTCGTGCCTTCAATGATTTTACGGGATGGTTCTTGTTTTATCCGCCTTCTGCCGTAGAGCTGACACAGTCTGAGCGGACATGGTGATTTTGTTCGATGTAGTCTTCGAGGTTATGCGCCAATCCTTTTGGAAAGGTTCTGCTGTTTATCCTGGTGCTCTCTTATTTCTATTCGTAGTGAGAATTTGGAGCACCAAGCTATGGTTTTCTTTGAGCTCCCAAAAATGGCTTCGATGCTCGTGGTAGAGCCATCAGGCGCGTGTAAAAGCAACGTCTGGCTTTCACTCGCGGGGGAGAGGGAGTAACCAGGGTCAACCCTGCGTTGCGCAAATTCCAAAATTTTTACGACCCCCTTCCTTTTCGGAGGGTATCGGTACGACCCCCCCCCCCGTATTAACTATTATGTCTTTCACATAATTTAATGCTCATCATTGATGTATGGGCAGTCACCAACATGGAGAAGTGGTGGACCGTGGTCAATCCGCGCGCTCTGTCTCGCTCAGAGGGGGAATCGAGGCAACATGAAGTTTTATTCATTAAATAGAAGGAATTTCCAAATTTTTGCGTAAACCAATACATCATTTTAATCGTAAAGATTTCTACTTTCAGAAACCTACCAAGTTTTTTTCGATCTCTCAATTTCCTTATTTTATAATCTGAATAACTAAACCTTGTACATAGCAGTTACGTTACAATGCAAGCAAAAGGTTATGTTCTTCTTCAGCGGTCTCATGCGATGGGATTCAAAAATTTGAAAAACCTCAAATTGTTTTCTTTCTAAAAAGTATTTGAAATGTTGCAAATGTTCAATTCTTCAAAAAATCGTCCCGTTGTTCCGTTTTTTGTGCACACGCGAGTTTTCGACATTCAAACATTCATAACTTTCTTCATAATCAACTTTTTGCAGATGTCTAAGGCTAATTAGAAACTAGAAGATTAGAGCTTTCGAATAAGTGCTGAAAATTTTCAAAAATCACTCTTCAAAAAATAGTCCCGTTGTTCCGTTCCCCTTGATTTTTTCAAGCCATTTTCCTGGAACGCGACTTTGCAATCTTCAAACGTCCATAATTTCCTTCAAAATTCATATAATGAGAAGCGGTAAAAAGTATTGAAGTCTACATGAAGAGTGCTTTACAAGTATGCAAAATTTTCCCTGAAAAGCTTTCTTCTGCCAGAATTTCTGAGGAGGTCCCTAGAAGTCAATTAAGCAAGTTCTAACTTTCTTCCACTTAGATTTGTTCTGAAGACATCAAGATTCTTTTGAGGAAGTTTGTCTGCTTACGGCCGCTGACAGATAAAGCGTTTTGAAGTGAAAACTCCTGCTCGGGGTACGCCGTGCACCTGCTGTGGTAAGCAGTCGCACTAGCATATGAAAGTCCTCCACTCTCCTGAAGACGGTGATAGTATTACATGGAATCCTGTTTGCTCAATGTATTTCACCGCTGTGTATACGACTCCCTTTTCGTTCAGCCAAGTACGACCCCTCGTTGTTTTTTGAGCAATTGGCGATTGACCCTGATTATAAAGTGGATCGTAACACTTAGCAATAAAGAAAGGGTGTGTTGGCTCTCGAATGTCTCGATACATTACTCACTTTCACGAACACCAACTACTCAAATAAAGGCCACTCAGCTAGCAACACAACAGCTTTTTGGCCTTTGCGGCCAAAAACGACCAGATTGACGGCACCATAAAATTGCTAACCTCACTGTTCTGCTGATAACGCGCGTTTCCCAGTCGGCTTTCTTAGCAACCCGATCAATAAATGCGTCCAGATTCTATTTACCTCCCTCTATTTATTTTCATATTAG